AATCATTTGCGCAGAACCTCCGCTACTCAATGATAATAATTGTAGTCTTTCAATGATGCAGCATACGAATCACATCATTCGTTGGGTTATTATTGCTTGTCATTTCATGATTATTCCTCCAAAAGATTTTTTTTCAGCTGATGACAACGCAAAAGGAACGCGGGTACACAAAAGTAAAGTTTTGATTATTTTATAGAGAACTCATGAATTGTAATGAAATTAAGCGACGACAATAAGGTCCAACAATGCGATTTCGTTGAAATTGCACTCCCAAATGAATCCAGCTGTCAATTAAATTCCTACCCTTGAAACGTCAAATGTAATATTTTTGAAGGTTATGAAATCAAAAACGACAAATATAATATGTTTGAAAATTCTGAGGTATGATTTTTTTCAGGTCTAAACATTTTCGGAGGTATGCCGCCGATGTTTGGAGGTAAGTTCTTGCTCATTTTGTAGAGAACACATGAGTTGTAGTGAAACTAAACGGCAAAAATAAGTATCAACAATGCGACTTCATTAAAAGTGCACTCTGAACTGTTTCCAGCTGTCAGTTCAATTCCTACCCTTGAGACGTCAAATGTAATATTTTTGAAGGTTATGAAATCAAAAACGTCAAACGCAATGTTTGAAAATTCTGAGGCAAGATTTTTTTCAGGTCCGCCGATGATGGGAGGTATGCCGCCGATGATGGGAGGTATGCCACCGATGATGGGAGGTATGCCGCCGATGATGGGAGGTAAGTTCTTTCGCACTTTATAGAGAACACATGTGTTGTAATGAAATTAAGCGGCAAAAATAAGTATCAACGATGCGATTTCATTAAAAATTGCACTCTAAACTGTAGCCAGCTGTCAGTTCAATTCCTATCCTTGAGACTAGTGTTCGTCGGGGAGCATTTTTTCGCACGAGAGGGGACCCCGCGGGGAGAAAAATGGACGGGGGGTCCCCGCGAAGAGGTCGGAGAACAAATTGCGCGGGAGGGGTCCCGTATGGAGTAAATTGGACGGGGGGGGATCCCCGCAAAAAAAC